GTGACTCAAACCAAATCAAACCACCCCCCCCCCTCCCAATTTGTGTGTGTTTGTGTTGTCTGAAACATTGTGTCTCTTCTTCACTGTTTTTTGTTTGTTTTAGTATTTATTTTTTACGTTTGGTCCATGTTGTGTTCTTCCATTTTCTATGCTGAATCCAACCGTATAAATAACTTGAAATTTGGACAAACGGTTAGAAAGTTATAGGTCAAAAACTGGAAAAACAGAGAAACGAATCTGCCTAAAAACGACCAGTCACCAGTTTGAACGACCGGTCGCTTTTTATTTTTCACTGTTTTTGGAATTTGATTCACACAAAGTTCTTTTTTTTTCTGTGCTGAATCCAACCGTAGAAAATTCGTGAAATTTGGACAAACGGTTAGAAAGTTATAGGCCAAACACTGCACAGAGGTCGAAACGTGAATTTTTGTATTTTTCTTTGGTTTCTTGTTTTGTTTCCTTTCTTTTACCGTTCTTTACTCGTGTTTTTAGTTTCCATTTTGCATTTGTGCATTTGTGGTGTGTTAAATAAGTGTTCTTTACGTACTCAAATTAGAACTTGTAGGAAGCCGACAGTTCTTCGTGGAATCGACCCCGTACTTACATAATCTATACCTCAATAGATTCGTGCACTTGCGGGTATTTTTAATTGGTTGTTTGCAAATTAATTTGTGTCAGTTATTAATAAAACAGTATTTTAGCGGGTTGGCGGGTTACATAGGTATTTTAGTTGGTTGGCGGGTTACATAGGTATTTTAGTTGGTTAGCGGGTTGACCTGCCATGACCCGTTTTGTTAAATGGGTTATATAGGTATTTTTGCGGGTTGGCAGGTTGACCCGAAACTCACCTGTTTATTAAACGGGTCATGGGGAGTTGACCCAAAAATGACCCGAATTTTATTCGTGTGGGTTGAACCCTCTAAATTCTCGTGCGAGTTTCAAGTCGTGTAAAGGGTCGTATGGGGTCTATCAAGGTGGATGTGGGTAGGGGATGGGGGTTGGGATTGGAGTGTCAAAAATCTTAGTTACTCCGACAATATAGCATGTGCTACTCATATGACTAAATTTAACAAAAAATATGACGGTAACATGTGTTGCTCAAAATATATGCATATTAAAAAGCCCTATTAGAAAAGGAAAAAAAAACATAATTGATGAATGAATTTTGTGTCTTTTTCTTGTAAAGAGAGCAGTGGTAGCAGTATATTGTTGTCACAATATGAAAACGAACTAACCCTAATCACTTACCATTTCCATAGATAAATCATAACAATAAGGAGTATTTATCAACCTTTTTTTCCCCATTATCATATAGATGTAATGTATTTTGAAATGACTATTTAACCCTTTTGAATTTTTATAAATGATTAGGTATAAATAAAAAAAATCATCTTCTTCTTAGTATGGGAGTGTTTCGATAATGTTGAAATAATTGAAAGAAAATAATATTCAAGGATAAACTTAAATACAAATGAAGAACATAGGATACTTAACCAAAACAAAATAATAAAAATTTGAAAAAAATAAAGCAAAAAAGGTGAATGCGTGGAGCCGGTAAAATTATATTTTGGAGATACAAAGCTAAAAGGTGAAGAAAATAAAACAACTTTGATAAACCAAAACATTAGCGCTCAATTTCAAGATGATTATTTGTTTTGTTTATAGTTTATACCCAGAGGAGAAGAACAAACTAGTTTCGTGTCTCTGAATTCGAAACTCAGAGACACGAACTTATTATTGTCAAACATCTCGGTAGTAAAGTGGGGATTGACGGAAATAAGGTGTGATAAGGGGAGGTGGGAAATTTGATAGAGATTGACGGAAATGGCGGTGGACTTCTACTCTCTCATATATATATATATATATATATATATATATATATATATATATATATATATATATATATATATATATATATATATATATATATATATATATATATATATATATATATATATATATATATATATATATATATATATATATATATATATATATATATATATATATATATATATATATATATATATATATATATATATATATATATATATATATATATATATATATATATATATGCGCCCGATTTACACATGTGTGAGTAAATTGGAATTTTTGTAAGTATTATTATGTTGTACCTAGGATACCAGATCAGATACAATACAAACGCCCTATTTAAAAATAATAAAAACCTTTTGAGCTGTGCGTAGGGTTCAGTTGATATTAAATTCCCAACTCAACTTTTGGTTTCTTCTTGTCACAAATGCATGGTACACACCCCCATCAATCTCAACTTCAAGCATTGTGGGATGCATTTCGAAAGCCCCACACATGCCATCATGTAGGCGCTTTAAAGTTGGACAGCTAAATTTTACCAACGATCGATATGCATTACAATCGTGAAATTAAAATTTCTGGGATAATCGGCCTTTAAATGTGGCATGTTGCAACCAATTACCCAAGGTCAATTGTGGGGATTTTAAAAGTTTTACTTTTAAGGCTTTCTGCCTTAAAATATATAGAAGATAGATTATTATAATAAATAGGATATTTCATCAAATTACCCTATGAACTTGAACATAATTATTAATTTACCTCTTGACTCTTTTTTAATAGAAAATTAAGGACTCGAACTAACTTTTATTCTCAAAGTTCTCCATGCCGTCTAAATCATCAACATTTCATCCAATTTGCCGTTAAATATGAGGATAATTGGTAATTTCATATGTTAAAAATAATTAAATACTACCAACAGGAGTTGGTCCAAGTGGAAGGGGCTTGGATCCTTTAAACAAGAGGTCCTGGGTTCGATCCCAGGCGCTTGCGAATAGAGCAGACTTTGTTGGGAGAGGTCCCCGCTTTGCGCCCGACAGTACCTCGAGGGTTAGTCCCCGCAATCGCGCGGGGTATACCTTGGTTTTCACCAAAAAAAAAAAAATAATTAAATACTTTACAATAAAATAATATGACCTAAAAAATGAAGAAAAAACAAATTATTTTATAAACATAGGGGTGAGACCCACCCACCCCCTCCACCTCTGCCTCTCCCTTCTGCCCTCTCTCTCTCTCTCTCTCTCTCTCTCTGTGACCCAAGACACATTTGTGCCTCCTCAGCCATATCCACCCTCGTTAGCTCGTCGAACCCACCAACCCTGCAACCCATCAGTACAATTTTCATGGGTCTGTGCAAGAGAGAAGGGTTTGAGGACGAGGCTCTAGGTTTCAAACAACCCAGATTTGAAGTGGGGCGTGGAGGTTGATTGGAGAGCAAGAGAGAGGGTGGCGATGGTGGACATTGGGTTGCGATGCTTGTAGGGTTTGTTTCTAGGGCAGGGAATGAGATTGTCACTACCTGCTAGGATTTCAATTGAGAATTTGGGTGATGCTTTGTTTTATTGGTTGTTGTTGAAGCATCAGAGGATTTGGGTAGAGATAGAAGGTCCAACAAAAAGGATTGAACATGTTTGCAAAGAGAGAGAGCATTGGAATGGCTGAGCTGGGGATGGGGAGTTATTGTTCTGGGTCGATGAGATAGAGGTTGGCTGTGGTGATTGGGTGTGTAGAGTAAAAAACATTTAGGGGGAAGATAGAGAGAGTGTGGTGGTTGTGGGAGGGTAGCCTGCTGAGAGGTGAGGCGGTGGTGGGGAAGAGGTTGGTCTTGGGTCTGGGGTTGGGTTGCCAAAGGGGATTCGGCGACGGTGGGGATATGGATGGTCTTGGGTCTTGGGGGG